TGATAGTCTTTATAAATTAGATAATGATATTTGTACACTAAAATTACAAAATAAAAATTTAAAACAAGAGAATAATCGTTTAAGAAAATATAAAAATACTACAACTAAACAAATTCACACACTTTCTATACAATTAACAAAAGCAAAACAAACAAAACAAAAGCAAATTTCAAAAATTCAAGCTGCTATTCGTAAAACAAAGCAAATTCGACCTGCCCAATTTCAACATGCAGCTAATAAATTGTTTAAAGCTAATAATAAAGAATATAGTGCAAAGTTTGTAAAGTTAGCTACAGATATTAGTAATATTGGACAAACCTCTATACATGCAATAGTAAAATGCACTAAAACCTTCTACCAATTCTTAACTAGAGAAGCACTATAGCAGTAGGTAATGCCAAACACTTTAGCATGATAGAACAATGAAATAGCAGCTTTGTTCTTTGATCAAAACCATCCTATAGATACTTGTTCCAGATTTTTTGGCTATGGCATTATGGTTGATGAAAGCACTAAAGGAAAAAGAAAAGTACTAATTATCTGTTTTTCATATTGGAACAATATTAAAGAAAAACCCACAATTACTGTAGTAAAATTAACAGACCTAATGCATTGCAATGCTGAAACAGTTTCGACTACAGTATTTGAAACATGTCAACAAAAAGATATAAACCCCAGAGATGTCATTTTTGGCTAACCGATAACACAGCCTATATATCTTCAGAATTAAATGGTGCTGTTACCAAATTCAACTCGTTATCAACATCTAAATCTTTTCGAGTTCCTTGTGGATTGCATGTGACTTATATTGCTCTAACAAATTTTGAAAATATAGCATTTGGAAAGTTAGATGCTGTTAGCAGATTATCATTAAAAGAGCATCTATACAACTTACTTAATCTTGCTTTTCACCTTCACAATGGATATGATGTTTCAGATAAGAACAGTCCATTAAACCTAAAATCTAAAACATTTCAAAAGCTCTATAAAATAATGTTTAATTTTGAAATGAATAAGTATCAACAACCTATATGTCAATGGTGGTTATATAAACTTAAAACTGCTAAACAATACCTCAATAGACACGAAGTTCATATACCCTTTGCAAGGTTTTTTATTAAGCAACTTGAAAGTGCCAAAAATGTCCCAAAATCATACTTACATAAGTGGCAAATATTTCTTAAGTAGTTAACAGATAAATGGCTTAACCTCCAAATATGTTGTTTAGTTAAGTTTGGTCAAAATTTTTATAAGCCTGTCTGTAATTTTTTAGTTGACCATGATCCAACTCCACGTATTTATCAACAAAACAATGTATATACTGTTATACCATCAGGAAATTATGCACATGAAGTGCCCAATAAGGTAATTTTATGGATTCAAGAGCTTCAAAATTATCTAAAAGATTTAAATAAGTTATTTGAAGATGAATTAACTGATGCTGAGCATGAGTTGAGTATAATAGATTTGAAAAATTTTCATGAATCATTATATACCAGAATAAAAAATGCATTAAATAGTTTCATTAAATGGATAGAAACTTGGACTTACCTGTCTTTATGTATTTGTCGATTAGATAGTGAAAGTGGACCTGAATTTGCTTGTGCTTTCTTAAAAGTATTCTTTAATAAAAGCTCCTCAAAAATACCTATACCAAAAGAGATTTCTTATACTAATCTCTTAAAAGAAGATTTGTCTAAAAGACATCTGGCCACTTTCAGCTTATTAGAAGCATTATTACAGCATGACTTTTTTGAGAAATTTGAAGCATTTGCAGATTCTAATATGGCTGAACTAGCTAAATTCCCTCTCATTTACGAATTTATTCAATTTCATATATGGTGTATCACAGTCCATTAGCAACAACTTGAGGGACTATTTAATCGATACAATATAAAGGTTCATTCAAATATGAATATTCAGCTGCAAAAATCACACATTCAGCTCTCTGGTTTGGATGATAGTGTTCAAGAAATTTCACAAAATATATACAAAATACTTAACAAAATGCTAGAAATTTGAGAGTTAATATATAGTTAGAAAATAGTGAGGTTTCTAACAAAGAAAAAGTATATGAAATTCTTAACAGCTTCTTTAATTAGAGATGTAAAAATTAATTCACATATAACAATCTAATTAAATATTTATTTTTAATAGTAGATATATATTAATTTTTTTTAAATCAATATTATTTTAATAGCTTTTGTAACGAGTACTTAACTTCTTACTGCGATCTAAATAATTTTAATTAATAAAAAATAAGTGTTATATCTTGTAGTTGAATGGTATTATTTCTTAAAAATTTTTAAAAAATGTGCTTATATTATATTTATAAGGGTAATAAATACTTTTTATTATATTTTAATTATACTTGACAGATTTATTCAACAACATTTTTATCATGTAAAAGCACTTGTAGAGAAATTCACTTCTAAAATTAATTGTTAAATATTGGAAAAAAAAATCAAAGAAAAAGTGAAATATTGAATATACTGTATATTAATTATTATTTTAGGCCTGAGTACGAAACAATGGGTAGTGCTAGTGCCCAAATAGAAGATATATGGGATAGTATAGAGCAGATTTATCCTAAAGTTCAATTTAAAGTTCCTAATTTCGTTTCTATAGATAAATCCGAATCTGCGTTTTTTGACTATTTTACAGATTTTAGTTTTGTAGAAGACACAAAAAAAATTTATAATAAATATAGGGATAATAGAAAGACAGTTTGGTTTCCTTTAATCAATCTTGTCAAACATAGATATATTTTCTTTGTTGGTAAAAAGATCTATAGGGATATAGATCATAATCTTAAGATACCAGATAAAAAAACTGTTATTTTAGATCTTCAGGCTATACAAGATTATTATGTTAAACTATTTAAGATACCTATTGACTTAAATATACGTAACGTTAAAAATGAATTATATACAATTGGGATAACAGTACCTTTAAGGAAATTTGATATTGAAATTGATACAATAACCGCTAGAATGATAAATGAATTAAAAGAAAAATACCCACACCCTGAGGGTATTTTCACATGACGGTTGGGTACATTAAATATGGTAAAGAAAAGTAATGAGAGATATTTCGTAGATACAAGACAAACCAAATTAGATGATGATAAAGAAGATGAAATAACTAAAGCAATGTATAATCAACTAAGGCCCATATTAGAAAATAGCATGTTAATGAGTCCTGAAGAAGTATTAAAGAAGTGGCACATAGCATACAGTTGGGGTTTCCCATATAGATTTTTAGATGGTAATAAGAATATATTGTGTAGAAATGTGATACACCGCATGAGTGATCGCCAGGTTTTTTTAAAGAAAATATGGCAGTATCTAGAAGGTAACATAGCTATTCCTAGTGTTAGCCACGTATTTTTAAAAGATGAAGTCTTAAAATTATCAAAAGTGGAAATAGAAGAAAAGATTAGAAGTATAATTGCAATGGATCCTTTGACTTACTTTAATGGTATGCTCGTAAATAGATGTCAAAATAAAAATTTTGATTCTATGAATGGGTATGCAATTGGAATGTCTAGTGCACATGCCATACCTCCACTTATATTTGAACAACACAGGTCTTATAGGGTTCATTTACAAATAGACATTACCTCTATGGACTTGACCATGAGTTATAATTACATACGAATGTTAATGAAAATTCATATGTTAGGTTATATAAATCATCCACAACGAGATAGAGTAGAATTAATGATAAAAACATATTATGATAACTTATATTATATAATAGCTACTTGTGGATATTATATAATGGTGAAGTAAAGATGAAACATAGAGGTCATTCCACTGGGCAGAGCACTGTTAGCCCTGATAACACTATATATTGTTTAACCCTTTTTGTTGAAGCTTGGAAAGAATTAACTGGAATGCCAGCAGAAGACTTTTTCAAATATAATAAAATCACAGCTTATGGAGATGATAATGTCCTAAGTAGTAACTGTTTCAATGATAAGTGGAATGAAAACACATTATGTGACTATTTTGCTCGAAAAGGAATTAGCCTAAGATTGGAGAATAAATCAGAAGGTCTAGAAGGAGTAGAGTTCTTGAGTAAGATATATTCAGATAGTAAAAAACAATTAGAAGAAGTCCTTAAGTATGTACCTGACTATGCTTGTAAGGTAACTTATAAACACAATCGAGATAAGCTTTTAATGAAATTTGATGATATAAAAAAAAATTCAAAAAAAAATAAGACTTATTTACTTGAGTGCATTGTTGGCTTAGCCAATAATTGTGCTCATTATTCGGATATCCATGAAATCTGCGTTAAATATTATAATGAATTAATAGAAGCATTTTATAGTCATATGAAAGCAATAAGAAAATGATGTCCTATAAAATCATATGAAGAAGTAATGCGTCTACAATATGAATATAGATATAATGAGTTGGTAACTCTGGATATGTCCCTATTTGAACAATTCATTCGAGATGCACGTGCTTTTGTCCATGAGGTTGATTTTAAATGTGAATTTGTGTTCCAGAATTACAAAAACATGTTAAAAGTTCTTGATTTATCTTTGCCTAAGGCATCAGTAGATACATTATATTTTGATCCGGATAACCATCCTATTTCTAAAAATTTTTTAATAGAACGGTGGATATATATTAATACTAATTGTCTAGAAAGTCTTGGCGAATATTTAATAATGGTAAAAGAATCACATTTTGCATCAATTTGTAGCCCCCAGAAATTTTTCCAGATTCGCCACAATTTTAATTGGAATATGAGTAGTTTAATAGAATTATCAAATTATATGCTAGAGATTTTGATAGCTTCCTTAGTAGTTAATTATTTAGAAAATTTGTTATTAAAGTTCCCAATTATTAGAACATTTATAAAATTAAGTAAATTACATACAAATTTTGGTTTTACGGGTTTCGCTGATCTTAATTTCCTATACTGGACTATGTTTGGTAGATCTAGTCTGGAATTGAGTGCTTTAGTCCCAAGAGACCCAGCTGCAAATAAAAAAGCTATCATGTATTTAATTTATAATAAATTATTTGGAGGTTTTGATATACCTGATTATCCAATTCTACCCTTCTTAAAGCCAGTGATGACTAAGTTCGTGCAATTAATTAATTTATGCTGGCTAATAATGGCAGACTTTGATTTGAATGCCATTTATAAAATAAAACCATTCTTTGATAATAAAAGTTTTTCCGAAACATGGGCACCTTTAGATCATTCGGATTCAATAGAAAAAGTATTAGAAGAACTCAAGAAAGGAAAAATTCCTGTAGTTACAGCAAAAACAGGAGCCGGAAAAAGTACAGATTTTGTACAGAACATATCTGCCCATTTTAATTGCACTATATTATCGATACCTCATGTATTTTTAGTAAAAAGCCATACTAGTTCTGCCCCAAAGTTGTTCGCTAGAACTCGCGATAACATTGATGAAAATAATTTGAATGTATGTACACATGGTTGGTTACAAGTTACTAATCATTTATTTAAAGATAAGGACTTTTTAATAATTATAGATGAGTTTCATGAGATGGATGAAGATAGTTTAATTTTACTAGAGAGATACAAAGGAAATGTCATTTTACTTAGTGCAACACCAATACCTATTCCAAACTCAACAACAATAACGTTAACAAAATCACGATCTCCTTATACAATAAAAAATTACTGTCACCTCCAAATATTCATTTAGAAAGTGCAATTTTTCATTATTTGAACGAATATCCTAAACTCAAAACATTGATAATTATACCATCATTAAGTCAATGTATTAGAGTACATAACACCATAGCTAGCTCTTTATCTAGAAAAATACAAGTTGTAGATGCTAAAAATGATGAAATTAAAGATGACACTGAAATAATTATAGGTACATCTGTTTGGGATGCAGGTCATACTTGGTCAGGTTGCCAGTTAGTCATTGATTCAGGTTTATCTATAGGAAAAGTTAATGGTAAGTTCATAACAAGGGAATTAAGCCATGCCATTGAAATTCAAAGAGCAGATAGAACAGGTCGAACAAATGATGGTCTGTATGTTTGATTAAATAATAAATATAATGATACTCCTTTTGATCCTAGTATTTCATTTATATACAACTACCCCCATTTATATAAGACATTTTGGGGAAAAGAACTATATTATAAATCAACAGAAATTTCATTAAACCCAAAAATCCCATCATGTTATAATGCTTTATTATCAAATCCAGATATAGGTATTTATTTAGAAATATTATTTAGTTCTCAACAATCGGATGCAGATATGTTATATAGATTATTATTAGGTGGTCATTTTAATCAAAATACCTATCATTTTGCTAAAAATCCTCCAACAACTCCACTTGAGGATATCTGGATAGCACTTAATAATTATAAAATTAATACAGGGCCCTTTCAACAAAATATGTTTAGATTAGATAGTAAATTACATATGTTCTATTACCATTTTTCAAAATCTAGTAGTTATGCTAGGTATGAATATACTATGAGTGCAAATATTAAAAATAAGTACCCACCTGCTAAAAAGGTGGCCAATAAACCACTATCCAAAAGGAGTGTAAGAGCTTTATTTGCAACTTTAAATGATGAAATGGACTTGCAAATTAAAATAATAAAAGGTAATGCTATAGAAGATAGTATTATCACTAAAAAAAATAAAAAAAAATTTAAAAAAATTGAAAAACTTAAAAAAAAATCCAATGAAAGTCTAAATAAAAGTTACACTGAAAGTTCAAAAATGCCAATATGTAGACAGACTCAAAATTTATTAAATAATATGGATCCATTACATGTTAAAAATGTAACTTTCTCATATGATCTAGATAATTCACATTGTAATAGTTGTATAACATGTAATCACAATCTCACAAATGCTAATATATGTTGTCAATGTCTACCAAAATATAAACCCGTAAAAATGCCCACAAGTTGGTATGCACTAGATGCTTTAAATGCATGCCACCCTCATAATACTGGCTTATTTAAAAGATGGTTATACTTATCTAGGTTAGTCACTGAAAGGGATGATGACCTTGTAGAAATGGATAAAATAATTGCATACCTAACTTATAGACATTGTAGTTATAATATTAATCACACTAACCCTGGTAATAGTGGAGAAGTATTTCAAAGACAAGATGGTATATCACCTTTTCAATATAATATACGTAATGATTATCTTCATTGGTATGCTACTGATGATATACATGCTGAAATAGTATTAGGTCTATATGATAAAAGTTGTAAAAGATGTAGACAAGAGCACGAAAATGGTCTAGGGATGCAGTGTGCAAATAGGCCAGATCATCGAGATACTTGTTGTCTTAGCTATAAAAGCAACTTAGTAGCTCATATAAAAGATAATTGTATTTTCGAGACTTGCTGTATAAATACAGATACGTAGGCTGTTAATATTCACGTTTTAACAATTGGTTGTCCTTTAATATATAATATATATTTTAAAGGCTTGTCTCCATTTTTATTTTAAATTATGTGTATCATGACCTCTCCGTGAAATCATTATAAGTATAAACATCCACAGTAATAACTGCTGTCCACCTCACAACGAATTAATATAGTTGGTAATGTTAGTAGCGCAAAGTCATGCACGAAAAGCAAAAAACAATAAAGATGCATTAGCACAATAATAATTAAGATGTACTTAGTAGAGTAAAAATATAAATTATGCTCAACTTGAGAAACTTAATATAATAATTTTTCTTTTTGTGTACTGGCTGTCTGGAGAGTAAGGGCAGGGTGTTATAGCCACCCATCAAACACAAAAAAAAAAAAAATCCTTTAATAATTAGTTTAGAAATTTTATTATTAGTTTTACATATATATCCCCTCTTATATTTTTCATTATTTATTATTCAAAAACAATGCAAGAATTAAATGAATCTTTTCTTAACCAATTCTCCACTGAAGCATTGCAAGAGTTGCAACAATTTTTAAAAGAATGGAAACAATGAACATATAGTGACCAAATCATAGAAATTGATCAAGAAAATATTATGGTAATCAATAATGATAAAACTAGAATTGTAATACCTATTGATAACTTGCTTCAAGATACTTGTAATAATTCTCCAATATATGAGTCCTTATTCGAAGAATTTATTAATCATGAAGATTGAGAAACACTTCATCGCACAAATATGCCAAATCTTGATAGAGTTAATGATTATAATTAGACCACTTCAAGTCCCAATAATGATAATGCAAAATGGGATGAAGAAATAAACAATAAAGAACCTTCTGTTAACGAGCATAGAGAAAGAAGGTCTATTGAGGACGAGCCCTATGATGAAGATTCTTTGCTCGCCAAAATAAGGAAAGATTTAAAACAAAGCTCTACAGAAGAAAATATACCAGTCTCTCCTTTTAATGGAAATAATGAATTGTTAATTTTCAATCAAATTATTAAAGCCTATGAGAAAATTAGAAGAAACAATAACAAACGATTTTCTTGATTAGAAATAATATATTATCTGGGAAAGCTATTCACCGATAATAGCAATAATAAACAATTGAAAAGAAAATTCAATAGAATATTATTAGAAAAATTTAGAAAATCTGGTGCTAATTGATTTCGAACTCAAGCAACAAGAGTTTACACTTTGTTTTAAAAATATGGGCTTAATAAACTGTATAACTCATTAAAAATATATACTGCGGATTTTGAGAAAATAACCGCTGAACAATTTGAAAAATTAAAAAATTAAAATCTTTATTTCTTTCAAAAAGAGAAATACAAATTACAATTCCCCATACCTAAAAACTTGGTATCCCTTACTAAGGCAATACTTCTTCATTGCCTCAATTCTATTTATAATTTCTTTCTTCTTTCTTACTAACTGAGATGATAAAGCATCTTGACTTAATACTCCTGCCATTTGAAGTTGCTCTTGAACAAATGCTAGTTGATGAGAAAAGATTCGATACTCTTGCCGGAAACTTATAAAAAAAAAAAAAAAAAATTTTTTTTTATTATTCTCGTTATTATTACTATTACTATTATTTTTATTTTTGCCTATTTTATACCTACCACTGCTCTTCATCAAAACCTAAACCTTCAAGAACATAAGGATAGGTTATTACTTCTTCTGTGACTTCTGGAGTCCTTCTTCTAAAACCACTTCTTCGGGAACTACATTTTCTTGAACTGGTTCTTCCCGAACCAGCTCGTCGTCAGAAATAATGACAACCTTATTATTATTATTATTATTATTATTATTATCGTTATTATTACTACTATTACTATTATTATTATTATTATTTTTATTACTGTTATAACGATAAAAACTTCGTTTGAGGTGATTACAGTTATAGGAATATTTAGTCATGTTAGAAAATTCTACAAGAAACAATGATGAAAATTGGGTGAAAGCACAAGTGTATGCAGTATGACATACAGCCTAATTTACTATTTTCAAAGATTGTCAAACGCAC